GTTGATGCATTTTCATTAACATCACTGCTATTTTCTGGAGAAGTTTTTTTTTTGTAATCCTCTGTGGAAAAAGGAGACATTTTGGACTGATTAGCTTCTACGTTATTGTACTGGTTCTGGTTCGGTGTGGATGGTGAAACACTCCCGAGTGACCCAGCTGGCAAAGAGTTGGTCAGACTATTCAAAGCACTGTTTCTTAGTCTAAATGTTCTTAAACTGTAGGGAACATCAGAGGAGATGGATCTTTGTGCCCAAAGCTTTTTAATCAGAGAAGCATCCCGCCAAGAGCAGGGTCTTGGCAATCATGGCCTGGTAGTCTGAGCTGGTGGCAAGTAGAGGCGCCTGGTCGGGGTCTGGTCGCTGGGACTGATGGAGCCTATGCCTAGTAAGGCCTATATATAGACATATATAAATATATATATATTATTTTATTAGGAGCACTGTCCCATTCATTTACATGGTTGTGGCAGGACATTAAAACTTTTACTGAGACCATTCTGTGTGGTCACCATACCCTGCCCCCCAACTTTAACCTTTGGGTTTTTGTATGTATGGAGTATTTCTTTACATGTTAATGGTCAATACTATCATTTGACAATGTTTTGCTCTTGAGCTCCCCAACAATGAAATATAACACTAGTGCTGAATAACATCCCACAACTTTATTAAGAAAGTGACGAGTAAAGAAAATGTAGATTTATCAAAACTGATTATTATTGCAATATTGTACATTATCACACATTGCAACTGTTTCTAACATCATGCAGCCCTTTAAATATTATTATTGAAAATAAAACACATTGGTTGATAATTCATGGAAAGTTGGACATGTTATTTTGTTTGTATTGTAAAGAAACCAACAACAATGCCACCAATAAAATTAAGTTACAAGAGCTAAACCGTTACAAGACAGCAGAAATTATACTTCTTGTAAACAAAAACATTGAATACAAAAATCATATGAAACCCAGGAATGACCAGGGAAGGAAGAAGCGGGTAAAGGAAAATGGATGGATGTTCAGTTCTGTAATCTGAATGTCTTTTTGGATTTTTTTTTTTTTTTTTTTTTTTCTACTTTAGCATGCGTGCAAAATCTGCATAAAGTAAATGTGCAATGCCATTTACATTTTACAAACAGAAAACCCACTGAAAAATTACAAATTCGTAAATGTAACGTTCAGTTTGGTAAAAACTTATCAAGAATCATTTGCATGAAGGATACTAGAAGACAACGCTGGCTAGCTAAAATATAATCTGCTTGTTTCCATTATGGCAAACGTTCTTCATCAGATCTTTTTTTTCCCCAAACTTACTGAACAAACATTTTAAAGTTTATCAAAGTAATGCCCCATAGAAGCATTTAGCAATATCGTTGTTAGTGTGTATGCTCTTCTGATTCTAGCGAGATGTTCCTGGGCTGAAAAACTAAACTCGTGAACTGTTTTCAGCCCACAGGCAGTTCAGAGCCGAGTCAGAGCCTGGATTTCAAATGGCGACAGTCAGTGTACCATGAAAGTTAAGTTGTAAACATCTACTTTCGACTTTCACACATGCTCTAGCTCCGCTCAGAAAAGGGTACCTAACAAACTAGGGATTTGAAAATGCAGACATCCAGGGGCTGTTTTTATATTCCCCCCCCTGAGAGTCTAAATAAGCATTTCCTGCTGGAGCTAAAGCTGAGCAACCCACAAAAAAACATTTATCTCAAACTGATCCCATGTGTTTTAATAACACTTTTTAAAAAGAGTGGACTTCATTGATTCAGAGAATATTCAGCATATCGCTCACTTTTAACAGTAAATAGCAAACCTAGCTTTACTGTTCTCCAACCACTTGGAGGCGGATATTTATTCACCCGGTGAAGTCGTTTGACTAAATTTTGTAAGCAGAGCTAAAATGTTGAATTAAACACAATATTTAATAGATGCTTCAAAACCACTGTGGATGCATCTGTAGACATCTGGACCTCCGGTTCAGTTACTAATGTCCTGGCTGAAGAAAAAAAAACTTTATGGCAATTCTGTGTTGATGCTTGACGACATTATGTTCATGTGTGGGAACGTCAAAATACAAACATATGTTACTTGACACTGACAAAGTCTACACTTTCCTCACATCACACTTTTATTTCCTCGTGTGCCAAAAGAAGAAAAGCTCATTAACTGATAACACGGCACCGCGAGACGAGGAGACAGAAAAACAGAGCAGCACGTTTTTTTTCAGAGGGAAAGTGAGAAATGTATAAAACTGTAATTAATGTCAACATTGCTCAAAGTACTTTTATTTTCTGAGCAGGACTTTTCCTTCACAGAGAGGTCATAAGTCCCACTGGAACATCTTGTATTTTTATTTAACACAGCCAAACAGTTGGGACTTCTTTGTTGCAAATCATCAAAGCTTCACAACGAGTCAATGAATCACTGATTCACTGACGATGAATCTTCTAGACGCCAAGAATATTAACCTACCCTCAAACTTTTATCCTCAATATATTTTGTAGATGCAACAAAATATCTGTATTTTTATTCATTTCTATTATGAACATGTTTTTCTTTGTCTTTCTTCCCATATTACGTCTGTTTGGTTTTCCTGCCCACCTGCAGGTGCCTGTGTATCCTGAGCCCGTTCTGGAGGGGTTTCTTGTCAAAAGGGAGTTTTTCCTTTTCCACTGCTGCTTGTGTCATGTTTAGGATGGACGGTTGGATGAAGTGGACTCGATGCAATCTGCTGATAAATTTCAATAATTGGCATTTTTAATGCATGTCATGTTTTTGTGCATTGCCCCCGGAGTAAAATGGCACTATATACAAAAACTGAATGGAAATTCAATTAAAATAAAAGGCAACACCAACAGGCTGGTGGCAATGAAGAGTTCAAAGATACAATTAAAATGAATTTAGTGGGTTATGCATTCATTTTGACCTGGTCTGTGTATGGAAAGAGCAGTACAAGTCTTTTACTGCCTCGAATTTGAATCAATCAGTGGCTTCTGGTAAAAGGTTTGACTAAATAATATTAAAAAAAAATAGTCCTTTGAGAACGGTCAGGTGCAAGGGTTGGATTCAAAACTCAACAAAGCAGAAAATAAGCTTTGAAAGTTTGAAATAAATTCAGAAAAAAAGGCTACAAAAAAAAAAAACTACTGCAACAATATTTTAACCCGTGTGAAAAATCCAAATCGGTAATAATTCAGGCAGAGAAATAAAGCTCCTACTCTTTTGTTGAGCCGATAGCAGCATCTCATTCACTCTATCACCCCGTAAGGCAGAAAGACGTCATCTAACTCAAAAATCAACTCTTTATAAAATACATTTGAAAAATGACAGAAACAACACGTGGAACTCATGGAAGCGCCATTCCATCTGCAATAAAGGAAGAATGTGTGGCTCAGTCTCCTTGACCTTTACTCTACTTATAATCCTGTCCTTAGGTTCATATCAGCCTTGAACACACACACACACACACACACACACACACACCAGGGAGCTCACGTTTGCCGGTTAAAGGTTGATATATCAGCTTCCTCAGCAGGTCTGTAAAGTTTCTCTTTCAAACCCACTGAAGGTCCAATTACAAACTCAGTTTAAGCTCTGAGGCGCCTTTTCAACATAATTACATGTGCAGTGAAATCTGATGCCAGTTCGTAGCGGAGATTGGCAGCGATTTTCAAATATTTAAAGTCTCGTTAAAATGGGCGCGTTTTAAAAGTTAATGCGGCTTTTACAAGCTTTTTTTTTTTTTTTTTTAATAAAAAACACAGGAGCAGTTGTTTCTTAAAGGTGCTGTTTTAGTCACATCAGCTACTGTCCATGATGGGCAGTGCACGTACAGCATACATCAAAGTCAAATAACATTGATTATCTTGCAGGAAAACCTTGCAATCAAGCATTTATGTGAATATTATTTAGACATGACACCAGTTTAGTTTGGTCGTGCAACCCATTTTTCAACTTTGATGCCTTGTTTTAGTATTTTAGTATGTTTGCTGCACGCTTTGGTATTTCTTGTTGGTTGTTTTTGGCGAGTAGAGACGGTTCTTCTCGTCCTCAGCATTTCATTGCACTGATGACAAATAAACCTAATCTAATGGTTAATCTTTCCAGCAGCAACACTAGGATGAATCACCTCACTGCTCGCAACAACTCAAGGTTCACAACAAACAGAGTTTCAATATTTATTTTAAGAATTTAATGTTCAGTAATTCAAACCTTAACTTCAAGGTGTCGGGAGTCAGTTTTGTTTACAAAATCTATACATTATTAAGGAAATGGAAGCAAGATCAGTGTTACAGCCAAGTGTAGTAAATTTAAAGTTTTATAATTTAATATAAAGTAAACAAAGATGATGCTGAAATTGAATATGACACAAACTGGAAATGGTGTTACCAACCATCTAGAGCTAGATATAGGTCCAATTTATGATTCATATTTATTGTATTTAGCTGAAGTTTTTTATGTTATTTTACAAAAAGTGTGATAATTGAAATATGGTGTTATTGGGATGGACCCTTGAGCACCTCCACATCTGGCTAGGGATGTCAAAGAGGATAAATATTTCATTCTAACAAAATGAACCTGCCTCTTACAAAGAAATAAAACACTGGGAAACAGTAACCTGGATGTATTTGAAACATTCTGTGTAAATATAGTAACCAGCCAACTAATAGCTGCTGCAAATAAAATAAATTATACATTTACTAACTCTAAAAACAAAAGCAGATTAAAAAAAAAAGGCATGAAAATGCAAATTTTGCTTAATGACGGGGCTCAAAATGTGACAGGATTTTTAAAAATGCCCTAACTTATTTGCAAACAGATTATAACAACTGCATTACCCACTATTTTTATTAGAGTTTTAGTTTTGGTGAAGCTAGCAAAAATCAGGGCTATGTTTAAATCGAATTGTTGGAAAACCTTTAGATAATCAGCATAACTTCTTTGCAAAAAAGTAGATGGTAAATTGAAAAGTTTTAGGGATGTGTATTGTTTGAAAGGCAGTACCTGATGGAAGTAAACAGTCCAAAGGCGTCCACTCGTCACCCATGATCAGGTCAACAGGAGCTTCAGTCGGTTCAGATGAAACTGAAAGAAAAGACTTTTTATTTTTACTTTGGCTTTAAATCTATTAAAGGCAGCTCTTTATTTTCTCAACACCTAACTTCCTCTGAATTTTAAATCCCAATAATAGCAAAATGCTGTTAAGAAAAGTATTAAAAGTAGTAACTAATGCTCAGTAGCCATAAATAATTACGTTTAAGCTGAGCTTAAGGAGCTTACAGGTGTGGTAGGATATAATTTCTGGTTTTGTTAAATATCATAAGATTTTCCAAAACCTTGTTTAATTTATGTTTTGTGCAACTTAAGATGTCACACATAGGTCATGTGTTGTGATTACCTCAGCTATTATCACAGTAACTCAATATTAATACACTGAATGAGTCGGAGCATTATTTTAAAGTTTGCATATGTTAATTAGCTGTGATGGAAATCTTACATTTGACTGACTTTAAAAGTTAATTAGTTGAGGAGCTCAACCTGATGGTTACATCCATTAAAAATTCAGTTTTCTAACAGACAAAACTCAAAATGGCAAAGTTTTAAATAAAAACGCTGCACAGCCTGTTAGTGCATGCTGTGGATGAGTCTCAGCTACTACCACGCCAACCTGTAGCATCAATAAAACAGAGAGTGTGTTTTAAAGATAGGCTTTGGCGGCCATCTTGAATCAGATTGACTCCAAAAGTTAATCAGCTGTAGAAGAGCATCTAATTATCTCTCTCTGCAAGGTTCATTAAAATCCACCCAGTGGTTCATGAGATATTTTGCTAACAGACAGGCGTGGAATACAAACACGGGGCAAAAACACTGAAAGTCACGAGCTGCAAATGCATCAATGAGCTTTTAATTATCTACGAATATTAATTTGTTGTTACACTAATTTCATGAGGAGGAATGTAAACAAAAGTGACATTTTCCCACCGTTTATTAGAGACTTCATGAGATTATTTTTGTTTTTAATCCGAACCAGCTGACCCATAATCATACACTTCCACTGGCTGGACTTTAACACACACTGTGACCAATTAGTTATTCATTTATAACTTCTCACAGCCGCGTTCGAACGTGACGAGAGCCGCACAAATAGTCTCAGCTCTAACAAAAACAAGAAACGTGTTCAATCAGCTGATCACCGGTAAAATACCGGCTCCACCGCGTGAAAACACTTTTTAAAAATCCGGTAAATACTCACAGATTCAAGCAAGATCCGCCTTTACTGTTGTAAACAGTCAAAGAGAGCACGAAGAGCGGCAGCAGCGGAGTGAAGGCGGGGCTTAAATTTGTTACAGCGACCCCTGGCGGCCGGAGGTAACTGCACTTTACACACTTTACAAGCCTTTTCTGATTAACGCCGTTAAATTACCCCCATTTAAACTAAATATTGTCTATATTTACTTTTAGTTTAAACTTTCCATTAATTAAATATTATATTAACTGATAAAAATGGTCAAAAATATAAGAAAATCATATGTGAAGTGCCGATTTTTTTTACAAATTTGGGTGAGCATCACAAACAAGGAGGCTTCTATAGAAGTGGATTTTGTGCGTAATTCTAATGAGCCTAATTGAGCATTAACAGTTAGACAATTACTTGCTTCACTGAGCTGTCTATAAAACAGGGGTCTGCCAGGTCCTGTCTAGTTAAAGCGAAGCGGATGAACCTGAAAACGAGTCCTTACCTTCTCTGCAAAACTGCTTCCTACAGGTAGAATTAAACTGTCTTGAACGAGTCACTTTCTATCAGCTTCTGCAACATCTGACTGAAAGAACAACGGATATGAGCTGATTACCTTTTGGAGTCTAAAGAGGCATATGTCATCATGCGATAGTAGCTGAGAGTCATTCACAACACACACTTTGAGCTTATCGACCATAACGGTGCACACATTATTTTCAAGGTTTAATCAAAACATCAACAATTCTGTCATTTCTCAAGATATTTTTTTAAGCGCTGGCATGTAAGGCAACGGGAGATATGGATTCTTTCATTCCTTCAAAGAAAGCTAGAGCATCAATTGAGGTAGTTACCAATCATGCTTTTGCACACACACACACATTTCCTATTTACAGGAAGCACTTAATGCAGCCACAACAGCAAATAAATACACAACTGAAGTGCACATAGGCAAATAAACACACTGAGAGAACACACACACAGTCACACACTCTGACGTGCTGCATAGTGTTGGTGCGTTCCTCAGCTATCCTCCTGCAGCAGCAGCGAGGTAAAGTGAGAGACCAAATCTCTCTCAAGGTGAATCCACTCCGGAGGCCTGTTAAAACAAACGCTCTCCCATCAATCAGCACTTGTCCTGTCTCTCTCTGACACACTGCACGTGCACACGCTTCATGTCAACCTTAGAACAGACAACTGCAGGATGCGCACACGTCCACAAATGTGCCACACATGCTAAGGGAAGCCATTGTAGTGAACCAGATGACCTCAAATCTACCAGATGGACAGAGACTGTTATTTTCATTGATCTGAATGAGTCTGGGCCATCTGATGAACTTTCTTTCTTGAATTAATCAAGCAGAAAAGACAATTCTTTATAATCATTACTGTCTTACAAATGTTTTGATAATCAAATTGTGTTAGTTCACGGCCGTGGTGCAGTGGTAGTGGCAGCCGACCTCTGATCGGAAGGTTGGAGGTTCGAATCCCGACTTCCCACACCATGTGCCGTTGTGTCCCTGGGCAAGACACTTAACCCCGAGTTGCTCCCGGTGGGACTGGATGGCGCCTTGCATGGCAGCCTACCGCCACCGGTGTATGAATGTGCGTGTGAATGGGTGGATGGCTGGTACTGTAAAGCGCCTTGGGGCCCCTCATAGGGGGCTGGAAGGCGCTATAGAAGTAAGCTCCATTTACCATTTACCATTTAGTTCACTCAATGCTTTACAGGTTGAAAAGAACTACTAATTTTATTTTACATAAACAGTAAGTAATGATTTTTGTTCCTCATTCAGAGAAGAAATCACCTGAATATGCCTTTCTTGATTTTCTGTCTGAAATGAGCAAGCTGTCGTAAGTATGTGAAAGGTTGGTCTTCGGTCAACTAAAATGTTTACTGAAGAAGAAATGTCATGTTTAAACTTTTTCAGAAGATTACCAAGAGTAGACTCCAGAAAGTCTGCTGCTTCTGCAATAATCTTTTCTGTATGTTAAACAAGTTTCATTCTCTGACCTCGACTGTTGATAAACACCTTACGTCAAAAACACACCTCTTTCTGGTCCTTCCACGAATCAGAAAGCTCTAAACTGAACAGGAAGTAAACTCATTTAAAATGTGACAACTGCCCAGTTCATGTTAGATTTTCAGAATTCCAAGAGAATGAGAGCTGACAACAGATTGAGAGTTCTGGAGAACGTGAGAGTTCCAAGATTGAGAGTGCAGTCGGTTCTGAAAGCTTCAGAGCAATGAAGAATCCAGAGGTTTTTTGGGGATTATAATTCTGTTTTGAGCTAATCAACGCACGACTTTCTGAAGGTTTGGTAGCTCTCGACGGAGACGCTGAAACGAGTCAGAAAGGAACTACATCCAACGCTGATTCATCATCAACAGGTAGATGGTTCTATTTTGACCAAGTGTACCGTGAGAAGCTGAGATCGGACGGAGCGTGCAACTTCTGGTCAAACAGATTAAATTCCCTCACACATTTCCTCTGTAAGATAAATCTCAATTTAATCTTAAACTCTTCTCTCTCATAAATCAGTACAGATATTTTTAGAAATGTCTGAAGCAAAGTCCTCAAATCACCGCCGAGTGATTTGAAGTTCATTTTCTGTGAAACTGTCTGTTATTATTTTCATATTTTGCCAAATTAATGTAAATGTTTGATGTTAAACTTTGATTCTGAAAATAAATGATTCCATTCATTTGATGGGTCAAAGATAAATAACGTCTCTCGTTACATTTTGTGTTAAATTCAATGCACGGCATTTACAGTCAGAAAAATGAAGAACTCGTGAAAAGTATGCATAAATATATATCCATATATTTGTCATACAACAAGTGACACGTACCTCACGTGACTCACTACACCATTCATTCTGCGGGCATGCATTATAAATACGCCTATGAATAAATTCCAGACTGAGTGCATTCTTCATTGGAAGTTTTTTATTTTTTTTAACTCTGTCTGAATGTTTGATCAGGTCCTCCTTTCTCACTGCAGCTATTCAACTACTTCACCCCTTTCTTCTATCCATTAGGCTTTTCAATATTTACCTCCTTCCTTTTCTTGCTCTTTTCTTTTGTTTTGTTTACTTTCTTCCTCTCATCCTCCTGTAATTTATGTCTTCGCCTATCTTTCCCTCAGTTGTTCTGTTTGGAAGTCCTTTAATATATTATTTTCTCTAAGGTATTTGCAAAAGGTAATGTGCGGTTGACAAAAATTAAAGACTGCTTGTAGAAGTAAAAGAGACTATATGAGATATCATATGCTTTATATAAAAAGTAGGCATTGAAGATGCATCAGTAATCCAGGTAGAGCAAGCTCACAAAGTTAAGTCGGGTCCTCTGGACAGATTCAAACAAATTAAATTTAAAACAAAAAGTTCAAATGGTTCATCTTTTATCCAAAATACTTCATCAGCAGCTTCTCATAGTGGATCAACCAGTTTGTTGTTGATATCCAGAACTAGCTGTTCCCATGATAAAGGAGGACCATCAGCCCAACACTTTGTTGTTAGCACCCTGATAGCTGCTTGTTATTCACAGGAGGCTGGCAATAACAGCACTGTAAGAGGGGGATAGCTGCAGAGGCTCCGCCCCTGTTTAATGATGGTTCTCTTCACAAAGATGGCCTCCTTCACTCCTCTCTCAAACCATCGTTCCTCTCTGTCCAGGATGTGAACATTTTCATCCCTGAAAGAGTGACCGCTGGCCTGGAGATGAGTGTAGACCGCAGAGTCCTGGCCTGATGATGTTGATCTTCTGTGCTGGTCCATCCTTTTGGCCAGTGGCTGTTTAGTTTCCCCAA